TAATTGCTCGTTCAGAGAACATTTTCATGAAATGGTAATTTTTTGAGAAGGACCTGTACCTCATTTATCTATTAGGTGATGTACTTCTGCTTCCTGTTACTCAGGAGATCTGCTTGTGTTGGGAAGGCGCAAGATGAAGACTTCTTCTTGTCTTCAGCAGACTGTATTCTATTGGTGCACTGCTGCCTCTCTCTGGTCGAGAGGCGTATTGCACTACATAACATAACGTCATGTTTGAAATGTAAAGTTCATTATTGCTCTATAGACATCTTGCTTGTAATACTGCAGGATGAATTAGATGAAGAAAGTTTAGACTAACAACAAATGACAGTAATTTAGTATTAACACATAAAGCTACATCACTTTTTAAAGTTTGATAATTAATGCCTGTTAATAAAATATTCATGTCTTACTCTCCTGTGTGTGTGTGTGTGTGTGTGTGTGTGTGTGTGTGTGTGTGTGTGTGTGTTTTCTGTGCAGCGTACTCCACCCCCACCACATCTCCAGCCCAACGGTTCGTCAGCGTCGGCCCTCGAGACCCCAGCTTCAACATCCCTCAGCAGCCGCAGGTAAGCCCCGCCCCCGGCCGGTTCTGGGACACCTGCCAGGTCCAGACGGGTCCAAGCGGGTCTGAGCGGGGTGACAGAACTCCTTCCTGTGGAAGTGCAGCAGGTCTGGAACATCTGGATGTCCAGCTATGGTTAGCTCAGGAAGCTAACGCTCTGGTTAGCTTCCTGGCTCTGCTGCTGCTTCCTGCTGCTGGCGCTGAGCGTCTCGGGTTCTTCTGTTTGGATGTCAGAACCTCATTTTAAATTGAAGTAAGCAAAATTTCAGCAGTAAAAGAGTAAAGAAAAACAAGCAAATCTTTGTAGAAGTTTCCTTTTGTGATGTCATCAGGCACCAAGGAGTTCAGTAGATGTTTGTGGAACTTTAATCCACTCATGGAAATATGGAGACCAAAGCTTCAAACTCCTGAAAAACTGGAAATTAATCATGAATCAGTTCAAAAACCTCTGAACTGGAAACCTGCCGACAGACATCAGAACCTTCCAGAACCTTCCAGACCCGCTGCAGGTTCTGGAGCTATCAGCAGAAGGTCTGCAGGCGACAGATTCTGGGTTCTGTCTTTACATCTGGATGTGAACCTGATGAGGGGCGGGGCTAACTGAGCGTGGGTTGGTGATTGGCCCACTGATTAGTCATGTGACACTTTTATCTTTCTGGTGTTTTAATCACAGAATCCAAATACAAACAGAAAAACATTCATCTGATATTTCCTGCAGAGCAGCTGGTCACTGAATGCAGCATCCACTTCTCATGCTGTGTGTGTGTGTGTGTGTGTGATGACCTGCAGTGAACGAGTCTGTCGATTTATTGATTCTGTCTCACACACACTCACACAAACACACCCTCTGAGAGGCCAACATGGTCCAGGTGTTTGTCACTGAAACAGTTGGTTATTTATTTGTTCCTCCTCTGCCTCCAGGAGGCGCTGCTGAGGCTGAAGCTGCATGCACTCTTCTTCCTCTTCTTCTCTGGGACTTATGAGGAATTCCTTAAATCTAAAATCTGCAAAGAAGGAAAACTTTCTGTTTAAATCCCAAGATGCTGTTTTCTATTAAATTTGGGATGGGCAAAATATTTGACCAAGATTCAACACAGGACCTAGATATTATCAGATATTATTAGATATTATCTAATATAATTCGATATTGTCAGATTCAATATTCAGTTAATACTAGATATTATCTGTTATCATTGGATATTATTGCATGTTAACTGATATTATCACATGTTATCCAATATTATTACATATTATAAGATATTGTTAGGTATTATCTGTTATAATCGGATATTATCAGATGTTATCAATCCCACCAGAGGTTTCAGACAAAAGGCTGAACTCTTTTCTAACGTAAAAATACTTTGAAGTATATTAAATCTGTCTGCTAACTGTGGCTCAGTGTGGGCGATCGACAGTCTCTGGAGAGAGAGAACCGCTGGAGGGGGGAGAGGGGCCACAGTTCACTGGCCCCGCCCCCTTCATCTCCATAGTAACCATCATACCATCATGCCAGTCTGTGTGCTTGGAGGCAGATGGTTGGGCACCAAGCTGGTTACCGTGGGAAACCAGTGTCCAGAAGTTCTTAAAGAACCATCAGAACCAGAACCATAAGTACTGGTTCTGGTTCTGGATCATCTTTGCTCATTGGGTTGGTTCTGTGACCACTCCATCTGAGTTCCTGAACCAGACCAGAACCAACCCAGGGGAAGATTATCCTACACTGAGATGAAACGGTCCAATCCGGGGTCGGGTCGGGTCCGGTCTCTGTTCCAGGCTCTGTCTGACCCCATCCAGGTGTTTCCTGCCTCACTTCCAGTCTAAACTTGGTCTGTATTTAAACCCGATTCCAGCCCAGTTCAGATCAGGAGCAGAGAGAGTTCTGGACCGGTTCTGTGCGACTAGGTGCCGGGGGGCAGTGGACCTCAAGGAGGAGGCTCTGCTGTCTGTCTGTCCATCCGGTCCGGTCCGGTCGGTGGGTCAGTGAGCATTTCATCTTCAGAATCTCTCAGGAGAGGGGGGGCTACTGCAGCGGGGGGCGAGAGACACCGACACACAGCGGGAGAGAGAGAGCAGGCCAGAAAAGTCCCGGCGTCAGCAAGTTGTATTGATTAAAAACTAACCTTCCAGTCTTCTCCTCTATCACTGCGCGCACAGCAGAATTACAACGAGTCAGGAGAGAGGGCCGCACGGCAACACAGTGGAGCTAACGGAGAGAGAACGGAGAGAAAACGGAGAGAGAACGGAGAGAAAACAGAGAGAAAACGGAGAGAGAACGGAGAGAAAACAGAGAGAGAACTGAGAG